AAGTAATGTTGCCTACTTGTTGTGTACATACACTGGACCTGATGGATATATGCTCCAGTGCATCTGAAGAAGTAAGATCTGATTCATGAACGCTGATGTCGCTTGTCTTTAAGGTGCCACTAGACTCCTGCCTTAATTCACCGCCACGGTCTGCTTGGGATCAGAACATCCTGCAGATTGTCGGTAAGCTTCAGTCAGCAGTCTTAGGGATACCCATGTCCTCTAATGATCCCTGGCCCCAAAGATACCCAGCTGTCCTCGGCCCTGGCTCCAACCTTTTGGAACTCTGCCAACTTCCATCAGGGCCCTGTAGGAATTCATGCAATTCCACAGGGCTTGTAAGGCAGAGATGTTCCACCAGGTTTTTGGATGAGGACAGCAGTGGTTTTCCAGCAGAGCCAGCACCCTCCTCCTTTCTTCCGTCTTGCCCACTTCGTCCTCCTCCTTAACCTGCCCACGAGACAGAAGAACAGTCAAGAGTAAGGTTTTAGATTAAATTATGGATGCCATCTGGAGGTTATCAAATTAGGAATGATTGACCTGCCAGTTTTAATCTGTATTTTTGTATGTTTTTAACCTGTTGTAAATCACCCAGTTAAGCAATTAAGATTGCTGGGGAAAAGATCAACAACCTCAGATATGCAGACGATACCACTCTAATGGCAGAAAGTGAAGAGGACCTAAAGAGCCTTTTGCTCCGGGTAAAAGAGGAGAGCGCAAAAGTGGGCTTGAAGCTCAACATCAAAAAAACTAAGATCATGGCATCCGGCCCCATCACTCCTTGGCAAATAGAAGAGGAAGTCGTGGAAGTAGTGACAGACTTCAAATTCCTGGGATCCCAGATCACTGCAGACTGTGACAGACGCCATGAAATTAAAAGACGCCTGCTCCTTGGGGGCAAAGCGATGGCGAACCTAAACAGCATGATAAAAAGTAGAGACATCTCCCTGCCAACAAAAGTCCGCATGGTCAAAGCAATGGTATTCCCAGTAGTCATGTATGGCTGTGAGAGTTGGACTATAAGGAAGGCCGAGCGCCAAAGAATAGATTCTTTTGAACTATGGTGCTGAAGAAGACTCTTGAGAGTCCCTTGGACTGCAAGAAGATCAAATCAGTCAATCCTAAAAGAAATCAACCCTGACTGTTCCCTGGAAGGCCAGATAATGAAACTGAAGCTCAAATACTTTGGCCACCAAATGAGAAGGGAGCACTCGTTGGAGAAGACCCTGATGCTGGGAAAGATTGAAGGTCAAAGAAGACGGGGATGGCAAAGGATGAGATGGTTAGACCATGTCATAGATGCTACGAAAATGAAGTTGGGACAACTTCAGAGGACGGCGGAAGACCGGAAGGCCTGGCGTGATGTGGTCCATGGGGTCGCGAAGAGTCTCTCAGCCCCACCTACCTCACAGGGTGTCTGCTGTGGGGAGGGGAAGGGAAAGGAGATCGTAAGCCATTCTGAGACTCCTTTGGGTAAGTGAAGGGCGGGGTATAAATCCAATAATAATAATAATAATAATAATAATAATAATAATAATAATAATAATAATAATAATAATAATAATAATAATAATAATAATAATAATAATAATAATAATAATAATAATAATAATAATAATAATAATAATAATAATAATAATAATAATAATAATAATAATAATAGTGTCAACAAGTCCTTTTGTTGGAACCGGCCAGGATAATTTAGTCACACTTTCCAAAAAGAGGCAAAGGGAAGGAGCAGCAGGTGAGCTCGCCGTCTTTTGAGCATGATAGGTTGAAAGTGCAGTTGATCGTCCCCAGGTCAGCTGAGCAAAGCAGGAGATGCTGCAGCCAAGCAGAGCTTTTCGTGGCAACGCAGATACAGAGAGCTGTTTGTACCGATCCATCTAGCAGGAGACAGTCTTCCAGATTTGTTGGTGGCAGCAGTTAAAAGTTGTAGCCAAGTCCAGAACTGGGGTGGCCATAGGGTTTTCAGAACTCCTGGGACCCAAGGGGAATGGGACTCGAGTCCGTTCCTTCACAAATGGGAATATAAAGTTTAGGAAAAGCAACCAAAGAGAACCTGATAATTCTCTAATGTCTGCACTGAGAACTGAGACAGTTTACTGGTGCTTCATCTTGATAGCAGTTCTACAGAGCTGTGTAGGGCTTCATTCGTGCAGCTATTGCAAGGAGGCAATTAATCCCCTCTTCGTTGCTGCCGTATCCCATAATGCGACTCCTTTCCCAGTACGTTGCATTGTGTTGCTTTCCCCTGGGTCCTACGGACTATGGAGACAGCGGTATCGAAGTCTCGCCGGTGCCTTTGATTCATCCACTTGGGGAAAAAATGAACCATCAGCCCAAAGGGCATACAAAAGATTAAATATTTTGCTATCATCTCCTACTTCTCTTACAGGAGTACATCTGTTTTGGGCTTCCATTCCTTCTTTGCTGGACTAAGGAGGTGTGTGTGTGTGTGTGTGTGTGTGTGTGTGTGTGTGTGTGTGTGTGTGTGTTTTCTCTCACACAGAGAGAGAGAGTCTTGGTGAATTGCCTCCAGACCATTTGAGCTGGTGAAGCCAAGTGATTAACAGCGTGAGCTGAGAAACTCGTCTGAAATCTTCCTCCAGCCATGACCTCTCTCTTGCAGTACAGTCCTAAGAACACCTACCCGGGAATCGGCCCCACTGAATAGACCCGTGCAGGATTCTTTAGGATTGTGCTTTTAGATGACCTTCCGCAAGCCGTCACCATCTCTGACTCAACTCACCTGTCTCCAGTGTGGGTGTGACGGTGCCGAATTACCTTAACAGGGCTTGGCATGGATTGGGAAGAATGTATGTGGAACGCTTTGAATGCACTGGAATACAATTGTTGAAAACTGGGGGGTGCAGTTTGGATTCCCCCCCCCCCCAATCTTCCCTTTCAGGTTTTTGTAAATTCTCAGAGGGGATGTGAGCAGGCTGGCTCACTCTTCCCCTTTAAATGGCTCTCTGCTGTTCTGTGTGTTCCATGTTGCCTGGAGCATACATTAGGATGATTTCTTGTATGTGTGTGTGTGTGGGGGGGGTCTTTTGGGTGGCCAGGTTGCCCATTATGTTGGGCATTTTCTACCCCTTGTGCTCCATGATAAAAGGGTAGGAACACTTTCCCTATGAGGAAAGGTTAAGGCGCTTAGGGCTTTTTAGCTTGGAGAAACGACGACTTAGGGGTGACATGATTGAGGTTTATAAGATTATGCATGGGATAGAGCAGGTAGAGAAAGAGGTACTTTTCTCCCTTTCTCACAATACAAGAACTCGTGGGCACTCCATGAAATTGCTGAGCGGTCGGGTTAGAACAGATAAAAGGAAGTACTTCTTCACCCAAAGAGTGATTAACACTTGGAATTCACTGCCACAGGAGGTGGTGGCGGCTACAAGCATGGACGGCTTCAAAAGGGAATTAGATAGGCATATGGAGCAGAGGTCCATCAGTGGCTATTGGCCACAAGGTATAGATAGGGACTCTGGGGCAAGTGATGCTCTGTCATCTTGGTGCTTGGGGGGGTCAACAGTGGGATGGCTTCTAATGTCCTGGCCCCACTGGTGGACCTCCTGATGGCACTGGTATTTCTGGCCACTGTGTGATACAGAGTGTCGGACTGGATGGGCCTGTGGCCTGATCCAACATTGGCATCTCTTCTGTTCTTATCATCCCACCACTGCCCATTCGAGCAGCAGCGGGAGATCGGTGCGTGTGTGAAATGGCACTGCACAATGCCGTGGCATCACTTTTCGCTGAGTACTTCCAGGCGATGTCACTGTTTTGAACAGTTTTTACTGAAAGCAAGTTATATCAAGAAAGGTCATATTATTCTTATGTATAAGATATTAATGGCCATAGATAGAGAGAATCCACCCACTTTGTGTCAAAGCTTGGCACCAAGATCTTGTGAAAGAATTAACAGAAGGACAGTGGGACACCATCTGGCAGGCCCCAGTTTTTAAGTCTAAGACTCTTACTCTAAAGGCTCAAGCAAAGAAATGCCTGGCGAGACGGTACCTGACTTCATCAAGGTTAGATTGCATATGGGGCCTTCTAATTCTGCTAAATGTTGGAAACGTCGTGGGGAGGTGGGAACATTTTGGCATTGTTGGATGGGCCTGTGGCAGGGTAAAATCCTTCTGGCGTTGTGTTCTTGCACAGATGTGTGAGATTATGTCATGTGACATTCCATTCATGGCAGAAGTCCTACTGCTCAGTCTTTGGAGCGATAATACTATATCTAAGCAAAAACATGAATTAATTACAATTTTATGTACAGCAGTAAAGCAGTATTGGCTAGGACTTGGTAGACCGAGGTACTTCCCTCAACCCATGACTGGCTTATTAAAGTATGTGATTTATGTGTGCATGATAAAATTTCTATGTTAATACATGAAGAAGAAAATTACTCTTGTACATCAGATTTTGAAGCGTTATGGCTTCCATTTCTTAGCTTTGTTTGTAGTCACAAAGATGTTAAGTGGCTTTCTAGTTGGACCAAAGTAATATCCATTTTTTAAAACCTTGTTTGTAGGAGGTATCTGATATAGAATGTGTTGTATGATTTTTCAATTTACTTTTGTAAATGTACTTGATTAAATAAATTTTTAATTAAAAAAATACCAGAAAAAGGTGATGTCACTGCATTGTGCAGCACTCTAGGAACGTCCTCAGTCTCTGTGGTTTTTACCCTAGAGTTCCAGGGAAATCCTAGAAGGCTGCAGTGACATCGCTTCTGGTTTCACAGCCTGAAGTGACATCGCACAGCCATCTCTGCAGGTCCCCCCCTCCTGTTCCTATTAGATATAAGGATGATGGTGTCGCACAATCTAGTTGAGTAATGTTTTCTTGGGTACTTGGACTAAATGAAGACATGTGTAGTTGAACCCTTTTGATTTTGTTGCACAAGAGTAGCCAACTGCCGCTTCGGTGACATTTTGAACTGCTAGATTAATAGGAGAGTTTTCCCTTCTCTTTCCTCCTCCGCTCAGGTGACCGACCATGCCACGACTGCCCTGCTGCATTACCAGTTGCCCCAGATGCCCGACGTGGTGGTCAGGTCCTTTATGGTAAGTGTGCTTCCAGTTCTCCCGACTAGGGGAACCAGTCATTTTGTTCTGTGTGCTGTTTGGTCCAGATTATGTTCTGGAGCAGAAAAAAACAGCAGTTACGATTTGCCATTAAAATATTATATTGGAACTAGGAGTTTGGCAAGACTCCTCCCAGGGTGGTGGGTGTTCCCTCTAAGCTGAGTTAGTGTGAGCTAGTTCACAGTTTTCTAGCCTCCAGCTCACACATTTTTGCCTTAGCTCAGGGAGGATGGCCCCGAAGTGAACTAATTTATGCAGCGGCCAAATCGCTCGCTCACAAGTTTAATGCCAGTAACAGTTCACAAAGTAGAATTTTTGCTCACAAGACTCCACAGCTTAGAGGGAGCATTGGGGGAGGTGTTGAAAACATGAGCCAAGAGGGGACACGTAGGATGGGGGCACTTTGGAGCGAGCCACGGTTGCTTGAATTCCTGGCCCACTCCAAAGTGGCTGGAGGAATATCGGTGGCCGGTGGTGGCTCAGAGCAGACAAAGGTGAGGAGACCAGCGTGAGATCTCTCTTATGAATTCATATCCCACCTTCTCCCCAAGTTCGAAGCAGCCCCTAACAAATGCCAAAAGCAAAAAAGCATTGCTGAACCAACCACCTGGGCTTTCTTGTCTGGGCTCCGCTTGGCCTTAAAGAACCTGACAGCTGTTAATAACTTTTGACAAGACAATGCCAGCCTTGGTGACTGAGCCCCCCACTCCCCCAAAAACATGCATACCCCAATTCAGCATCTGCCTGGAAATGAATGCGTAAAGATGTAGGGGGAGGGGCATTTGCCCAAGCCGTGGGTCTGCGCTATTGATTCACTAAAACACCACTGATAACTTTTAAGAAAGCGAAGCCAAGGATGTTCATCCCAAGTGCCAATAACTGTAGGCATTTTGCATGTCAGCTGTGCAATCTGGTTGACAGGGTGTAGTGAAGTCTTAATTACCCAGACAAGAACCAAGGGCTACTTCCTTTTTCTTTTAACCTCCATTATTTTTTTCTAGAAAACCTTTTAAGCACACAATTTGACTTTATTTACCTTTTTTCTCATTAAAAAAAACACACACACACACAACCATTCAAATTATGGGGGGAGGGGGGACTAGGTGATAGTGGCCAGGTCCAGTGACGTCAAAGGCTTCAGAGGTTTGCCTGCGCTGTCCTCTTGCCGCAGGTGCCCTCCCTTCTGGCTTCCGGGCCCCGAGAAGCTCTCCGTCCATCTTGGGGGAAAGTTATTGACAGCCCCAAGATTGAGAGAAAGCTCAGATGTAGAGAGAAGGATCGGTTTCCATAAATACGGCCGACCTCTTCTTCAGAGAACAATTTTCTCTTATCGACATAATTCAATAGGACTTCAGATGACAAGATTCATGAGCATCCTTCACGGCAAGAATCTGCTTGTCTTGGAGGTTTTTTAAAAGTTGCGGATCTCCTTGAGCTGGGAATTGAGTTATATAATGTTGCTTCTTACATAGGACAATTCGAATGACCTACTTAAGGGGCAAAACCTTTGCCTTGAAACACCTTGCTTAGCTTTTCTTCCCCCCCCCCTTTCCTCCCCTGCCTGCTGCATCCAAAGGCCGGAGGGCAGAAAACAGACTTTAAATGGAGCTCAGGAATAGAATTACTCTGTGACCCTGCCCCACCTTTCTGCCGGGGTCCAGCTGCACCCATTTGTTTAGACCGGGGCCTTTCCCCGTCACATACAATGCACATTCGGAGGGAGGGGATGCCATTCAAAGCAGAAAGGGGCAGGCGAATGGGAGGTGTGGAAACTTCCTGGGCCTCGGTCTGACTTCCCCACCGGCTTTCAGCCTGGATGCTTTCCTCCTCTGCCGACCTACAATATTGGAAGTGAGCTTGGCTGGGAGAAAAGCCCTTGCAGGGAGGAAGTGATGGGCTTGATACCCTGTTGCTCCTTTAGAGATTTGAACCTTCCACCTGCGGTTGGGACAGCCTCGGATTTCAGCCGGCGAGCCTTCATCCGTCACACCACCTTTGGCCTTTAATGCCTCTTCACACAATGTTTTTCCCCATAAAGAGAGATTTTCTTACACCACTTCTGACAGGTGTCCCCAAGGCAAGTCCAAAGCACGAAGTGGCGTCTCTCCGGTTCACATAAAAACACACACGTAAGCAACCGACTGTGCCCTGTGGTGGTTTTGTACGCTAGTTACTGAGTCGGGGAGCGAAACCAAGTGGAGCTCCGGAGGGAGGGGACTAAAGGCGCTGTGGCCTTCCAGGTCTTGCCTGTGCTGATTATGATGAGACTCAGGCAGGGAGACTATAGAGCAAAGTTTAAGTCCAGTGGCACCTTTAAGACCAACAAAGTTTCATTCTGGGTATAAGTTTTCATGTGCAGATACATTGAAACAGACTTCGCCAACCATTACATATAGATGTGGGGGGGGGGGTGAGTTGCCAGGAAGGGCTCATTGGAGTCAAAATGCATAAGTAACTGTGATAAGTATAGCTAAGATTGGATTAAAGCAGTTGGTAAAACCTGTGAATAGCAGCAAATTAATTAACAGATGCGAGAACTGAGTGGCTTAACGTGTGTAGTGAGATAAGAACCCTATATCTCTGTTAAGCCCTGGAGGTTCCATTGTTCTGAGTGTTGTAATAACTTGTAATTCAGCGATTTCCCATTCTAGTCTGTTTTAGAAATTCCTTTGCAATAAAACAGCTACTTTAATGTCCCCAACCCCCTCCCACCTATATGTAATGGTTGTCGAAGTCTGTTTCAATGTATCTGAAGAAGTATTGAATGCACATGAAAGCTTATACCTGGGATTATTTATTTATTTATTTATTTGGATTTCTATCTTGCCCTTCCCTTAACAGGCTCTGGGCGGGTTCCAACAATCTAAAATATAATACAATTAAAACCACATTAGAACACAAAATAAATAACATAACTCGTATGTGCCATACAACTCTAATTAAAACCAGACACCAGTGGTTAATAGTATTACGATTTAGAGTTTTTTAAAGATCTTAAGATTTAAGATCTCAGGACCCAGGCAACAGATGGGGGCCGACCCAAGGAAAGGGACGCCCACTCCCTCAACCAAAAGCCCGGCGGAAGAGCTCCGTCTTGCAGGCCCTGCGGAATTGTAATAAATCCCACAGGGCCCTGATCTCACACGGGAGCTCATTCCACCAGGCAGGGGCCAGGGCCGAGAAAGCCCTGGCCCTGGTTGAGGCAAGTCGGATGTCCCTGGGGCCAGGAACCACCAAAAGATGTTGGTTGGTGAACCTCAGTGCTCTATGGGGCTCATATGGGGAGAGGCGGTCTCGAAGGTATGCCGGCCCCTGGCTGTACAGGGCTTTAAAGGTGAGAACCAGCACCTTGAAACGGATCTGGAATTCGAGCCAGTTTGGTGTAGTGGTTAAGTGTGCGGACTCTAATCTGGGAGAACAGGGTTTGATATCCCACTCCTCCACTGGCAGCTGCTGGATGACCTTGGGCAAGCCGTAGTTCTGATAAGAGCTGTTCTTGAAAAAGGGCCGTTTCTGTCAGAGCTCTCTCAGCCCCTCCTACCTCACAGGGTGTCTGTTGTGGGGAGGGGAAGGGAAAGGAGTTTGTAAGCCGCTCTTAGACTTCTTTGGGTAGTGAAGGGCGGGGTAAAAATCCAATTTCATCTTCTTCTTCTTCTACCTCACAGGGTGTCTGTTTTGGGGAGGGGGAGGGAAAGGAGTTTGTAAGCCGCTCTGAGACTCCTTTGGGTAGTGAAGGGCGGGGTATAAATCCAATCTCTTCTTCTTCTTCTTCGATAGGCAGCCAGTGCAGGTCACGCAGCACCAGGCGGACGTGTGCCTGTACAGGCGTTGCCATCAACACCCGCGCTGCCGCGTTCTGCACTAATTGCAACTTCCGGAGCAGAGTCAAGGGCAGCCCTATGTAGAGAGAGTTACAATAATCCAGTCTTGGGGGGGGGTGAGATATGGGGCCATCTGCCTGATCTGCCTCAGACGAAAAAAGGCAGACCTGGCAGTGACCTGGGCCTCCCTAAAAAGGGAGGCATCCAAGAGCCCCGTTGAAGGCTCAGGAGCCACTCAGGTACAGGTCCTCCGTCTTAGATAGATTTACCCTTTTCGGTCTTAAAGGTGCCACTGGACTCAAACTTTGTTATGTTGCTTCAGACCAACACGGCTACCCACCTGAATCTCCCTGCAGGGCGACGACGTAAGGGAACCACTCGCTGTCATTCTTCCAAGGACGGACGGCGCTGGCACCCATGGCACGCAGCTATATTGAATGCCCCTTCTGTGTCCTTCTTTAAAAGCGGCCTGAATTGTGCAGGCTCTTTCCCGTGAGCGAGCGGCAGCTGTGGCACTTGGGCATGCAGAGAACCAGCCTTTGTCCGCTTATTTATTTACAAGAAATTTATGCCACCTCTCCAGGAACCTGCCTGAGGTTGATAATAAAAACAAAACATTAGCATTTAATTTAAACCCAGCATTAAAACCCCAGCTCAGCATAAAAACATAGACCGTAAACACAGACTACTGACAGCTTAAAATATCAGTTTCCGGACTCAAACAGTGTTAAAAGATCAACCTCTTCAATTAAAAGCCTGGGAGACCAGAAACATTTTGGCCTGGTGCCTAAAAGAAAATAACACGGGTGCCATGCAGACTTCAAGGGGAAGGACATTCCATAAGTGAGGTGCTACCGCTGTAAAAGCCCTGTCTGTAGTTGCCGCCTGCCTCCCATCTGAAAGCCAAGGGCACAGAGAAGAAGAGCCTGGATTTATACTCCACCCTTCACTACCCAGAGGAGTCTCAGAGCGGCTTACAATTTCCTTCTCTTCCTCTCTCCACAACAGACACCCTGTGAGGTAGGTGGGGCTGAGAGAGCTCTTTCGAGGACTGCTCTTGAGAGAACAGCTCTGAGAGAACTTGTGACTGACCCCAGGTCACACCAGCAGCTGCATGTGGAGGAGTGGAGAATCAAACCCAGTTCTCCCAGATTAGAGTCCGCGCTTCTATCCACTGCGCCAAACTGGCTTGGGAGCCAGATCTTAACTGGTGGGCTGGAGCATGTGGGGGGAGGCAGTCCTTCAAGTTTCTGCTGCCAGGAAGAAGATCTTTTATAGCGTTAGTATTTAGTGTTTCACAATAAACATTTTCTTGTTAGCAAACATTTGTGTGATGAGCATAGCGTGCATTGCCCGAAGGAGGAAGGGAAGTAACAGTGCATAATTTAGTTTCCTCAAATATTTTGAATGGTTTCACACATGGTTTGTGGTTCTTTTCATTGAGCAAGAGCTGCGGGAATTTCCAGGAATGTAGTCCTGCGTTTCTGCCGATCTTGATCCTAGCAGCGTGGCTGGGTTTGACTTTGAGCCCTTAAATGGTTGGGCTCCTCCATACCCTGAAGCCTCCTCCCACCCAAGTAGTGAGATCGATGCATAATGCCTGCCTTGTCTGAGATGAGATTGAGGGCGTTTTCACGCACCACCCCCAGCTCCAGAATTCCCTCTGCGAGGAGGCAGAAGAGGAAGAGGTGTTGGTTTTTATACCTTGCTTTTCTCCACCCTAAGTGGCTTCCAATTGCCTTCCCTTCCTCTCTCCCCACAACAGGCACCTTGTGAGGAAGGTGGGGCTGAGGGAGTTCTGAGAGAACTGTGACTGGCCCAAGGTCACCCAGCAGGCTGCATGGGGGGGGGAGTGGGGAATCTAACCCAGTTCTCCAGATTGGAGCCCGCCACTCTTAACCACTGCACCACGCCGGGTCTCTGTACCGACACCACAGTTTTCACTGCCCTCTCTGGGAAAATGAGAAGGCGTCCTTGGTCCCGAAGGCTGTTGAACTGACTGGCTGTTTTTCCTCAAGACCCTCTTGTTAGCCCCGACCTGGATAGCCCAGGCAAGCCCGGTCTCATCAGACCTCGGAAGCTAAGCAGGGCCGACCCTGGCGAGTGTTTGGAAGGGAGACCTCCAAGGAATACCAGGGCCAGGAGGCAAAGGAAGGCTATGAAGCCACTTCTCTGGGCGTCCTCCGTGGCCCAGTAGGAGTTGTCAGAGGTCGCCATGACTTCCAGGCACAGGGGCGCACACACTGGAAGCGTGCTCTCTCCCACACACACAGCTGCTCTTCCATTAGCCACAGGGCATCTTTAGCGTGGAAGGCTGCAGACACGGATCATGATCCGGTTTTGCCACTGTGGACTTTTGTGCTGTGCCCACAAGAATTTGTATCCAAGGGGGAGCAGGAGACCCAGCTTTGGCATTTGCCCTGAACAGTCTCGATCTTACACCTAATATAACAATCCATTTTTCCCAGCATCGTTCCTGATATTAAATGGATTTGTGAAGGAAAACCAAACAAGCACACTCTTCCTATTTAAATTTGGCCTTTTTAAATTTGGGGGGGGGGGGGGATTTGTCCCCAATAATAATGGCCCTCTTCTTTTTGGTTACTAATTTCCTGACCGTTTCTTGGGCAGGAAAAACAATTTATAAGAAATTAAAACAGAATTCCAAAAGTATGCCTGTTCATTTGGGCCCCTATTGAATTAGAGCATCACCATATTTCAGAGCCCTGCCATATTTTCAGGACGCCACGGGGACTCCGCAGCGGAAAAGGTTTGGGAAACCCTCTGCTGCGATCTAACGGCCTGGCAGCTCCACTTCTCTGCCTGCTGGCTCTTGAACTAACACTCCAGGAGCAGGCTCCCGCCTTTTGGCTGGCCTTAGAAGTGAACGGTCAAGCTGAACCCAAGCGCGGAAGTTCTGGTTGTCCGTGATGACCCTTGAGCTGCTAATCCCCGCTTGCTGCCGCAAGGATGTCTATTTATGTAGTCATCCCCTGAGAGCGTGGGAGAAAGGAGGTCTCCCACAAGAGAGCGGGCCCGTCAGCTCTCTGTTGACCTTGTGCTTCTGTGCACGTGTCTCTTTCTCCCGTCTGTGCCTCTGGGCTCAAGCCAAGGGACGTCCCCCAGCCTCGGCACCATTGCACCCGACAGGAGCCATGACTTTGGGAGCGTTCAGGTTTAGTTTCCTCACCTCTGTGTGTGTGTTTGCTTGTGTCTCCTCCTCCTCCTCCTCCTCCAGACCTGGTTAAGGAGTTACATAAAGCTGTTCCAGGCTCCGTGCCAGCGCTGCGGAAAGTTTCTGCAGGACGGCCTGCCGCCCACCTGGCGGGATTTTCGGACGCTGGAAGCCTTCCACGACACGTGTCGGCAGTAGCCTGCTCCAGAGGCTGATGGGCGTGTGCGGAGGAGGGAGCAGACGTAAAGACGGGTCACCTGTCAGACAGCAGGCAGCTCGCGTCTCTGCTGCCTTGCCGAGCAGCAGCGTTGGGGCTTCCTCCTCCGCCAGCTTCGGTGCAAAACGAGCCCCGGATCGTGGGCTGCTTCAAAAGGTTCCACGGCCCTGATTGAGTTCAGCTGAGCGCAGGGCGACAGAAAGGGAACGGTGGGGAGGTTAAGGTCCTCGGTCCTCTTTGGAAACACGGGACTTTCCAGCGCAGAAGTTTATCCTTTGGGATCAAGCCTTCATCTCCACTGACCGTGAACATCCGATGCTTTTCAAGGGGATGTTCAGTACAGCTTTTGTCAGCATTTTATTTTTGTAAAATATGAATAAAAACCAACATTCAACTCGGCCCTCCTCGGCTGTTTCTGTGTGCTTCTTTTCCCCCTTTCCTTTGTCTTCATTTCCAAAGACACGGTGCTTTGAAATTTTAAAAATGGCAGTGTGTTTTCCTTTTGCAAGTGTGCTCATCCTTCCGTTCTGGAAGACGTCGCAATGTCAGTCGAGCCTGAAATTTCAAAAGGAACGCTGGCATCTTGTGGAAAGTGGACCGTGCTTCTGGGGCAGGCCCCAGATGGGCCCACGGGCTTCGTGCAAGAGCTCTCCAGCCCCCCAATGTTTTCCCCCCCTTAAATTTATATCCCGCCCTCCTGTCAGGGTCCTTAGGCAGGTCACACCACGCAGGGCCTCAGAAGAAGATAACTGCTTTATTGGCGGTTCCAGTACTAAAGAACACGAGTACAGCTTGTGTCTGGAATAGCCGTCAGTATAAGGGCCTCTGACTTATAGTGTAATCAAACATCCCCCCCCAATGAGCGGAAGCCAAGGATTATAGTTCGCGCACGCGGGCAGAAGCAAGCAAGCGAAAAGCCGTTACCTTCCCAGCCGAGTAAATTGCAGCTGGAGACTACAAGGTCAAGCTGGAGATAGCGCACAGTAGCTGGACAGGGAAGAACTGAGAATGAGGAGGAGGGCACCCCTCCACATTCCAGATTCATGACAGGGCTACCTGACATCTCCCCGCCGTGCCGGGCTCAGGGCGTCTAACAATACAGATATAAATATACATTTAAAACTCCAATATAACAACATTAAAATAAATGTAAGTGTAAAACCATTGTTACACAATACCTAGAGTTATTACAAGATTGTCACTGAATGGCCGCCTCCTGGCTCCTGCCCAGCTGTTAGGCATCCAGCTGTCAGGGATGCTGATGTTAAGGCCAGGTTGGTGGTGATGTTGATGTCAGAGCCAGGGCCATAAAGCACGGAGTGCCTCAACGGCTGCAGGAATAGCCCAGGCCATCCCACCAGTAGGGAAGAGCACCACAGGGCCCCCTTCGCCATGCTGCTGAATCAGCCAAGTATTAACGGCCTGCAAGGCAGGATCTGTCCTGACCTGGATGGTCCAGGGTAGCCTGATCTCAGAAGCTCATCAGGGTCCGCTTACTTGGTGAGAACTTGGATGGGAGACCACCAGTGAAGTCCAGGGTCTGTTACACAGAGGCAGGCCAAGGCAAAAACCACCTTCCTTCGTCTCTTCCCTTCAAAACCCTTTGGGTTTTGGCTATGACTTGATGGCACTTTTCACCACCACCACAAGAAGAAGAAGAAGAAGAGATTGGATTTATACCCCGCCCTTCACTACCCAAAGGAGTCTCAGAACGGCTCACAAACTCCTTTCCCTTCCCCTCCCCACAACAGACACCCTGTGAGGTAGGTGGGGCTGAGAGAGCTCTGACAGAAACTGCTCTTTTTTTCAAGAACAGCTCTGCCAGAACTATGGCTTGCCCAAGGTCATCCAGCAGGTGCAAGTGGAGGAGTGGGGAATCAAACCCGGTTCTTCCAGATTAGAGTCCGCGCACTTAACCACTACACCAAACTGGCTCTCACAAGGCAGCATTAGGAGGAAGAGCTAGAGAGAAAGAAAAAGGACACGGTCCCTTGATAGAAAAGCCACCCCCTTCTCGTTCTGTCTCAGGGAGGCAGGAAGGAAGCTCCCCAGAAAAGCTCAGTGCTGCTGGGGGGGGGGCACAACGAGGAGCGCGGGGTGCCCCAGAGGGGCTCAGCTTGCTCTCATCCCACATGGCTCGGTAGCTCGGCAGTTCCAGACCCGAGTGCCCACAGAAGGAGGGCCCGTCTCCGGCCCCCGCTCTTGCCAGCCTAGCAGTTCGAAGGCAAGAAACTGCAAGTAGATGAATAGGTACCGCTTTGGTGGGAAGGTAACAGCATTCCGTGCACCTTGGCATTTAGTCATGCCGGCCACGTGACCATGGAAACGTCTTTGGACAGCGCTGGCTCTTCGGCTTGGAAACGGAGGTGGGCACCGCAACCCTAGAGTCGGATCCGACTGGCTTTGGAAACCTTTGACTTTAAGCCAAGAAAGGGTGTAGTTTGTGCATTGGTGCGGGAGAGAGGTCAGTCTTCTCCCATGGCTAAAACAAGTGATCATTTGGGTCTTAAATGTGACTCAGTGGAGCAGTCCACGTGAGAGCTGTCGACCCCAAAGCAGCGTGGGCAGGTCCTCTCTGGTCCCTTTAGCAACCCTGATCAGAACCTTTGGAGGGAAGAAACAAAATACTAAAAATCTTAGCAAACTCTGCTTGTGTCTTGAAGCGTGTAGGAAACATGTGATGCAGTCCTTGTGGGTGTCTTAGGAGCTCAGATGAAATGTTTAGTTTGGAGGCTGCAGTGCGGAGCTCCCTCGGGAGCAAACCCCACTAACCTAGGTGGAGCTCCTGTCTCCCTCCTGCATGTCTGTGGCTCTCCCGGGATGCAGTTCCGCACGGCTGCGAGATATCTGTGCAAACGCTGGTCATCTGGGCAGGAACGGTTGCATGGCCTTTCCTGCTCCTTCAGGAATATCTCAGCAGCTCAGCTGATGGTTTTGCCTTTGTCAGAGTTAAACAAAGACCAGGGAGGACCCTAGCTGACCTGGGAAACTCCGAGAGGATCCCTGGAAGCCAGCTCCCTGGAGTAGAAACCAGGTTATAAAAACTGTTCGGCTTGCTCCCAAGTCCCCTGAGCAGAGGAGGGCAAAGTTTGCTTCAAAGCCTTCCTCTTGGGAAGCCTGCTCCAGCAAGCGGCCGACTTCCCCTCGAGAGAAAGAGGCCCTCTGAAGGCTGCTTGTAAACCTTCCAGTCCATTCTTTGTATCCAGATCAAAACGAGGCCCGCAGTGCTGCCTGTGACGCAAAAGGGCAAGCAAAGGAAGAATTTCAGAATTTGTTCCGAACAGCCTTTGCAATAGTCTTTCTTTCTTTCTTTCTTTCTTTCTTTCTTTCTTTCTTTCTTTCTTT